CAAGTATTTTATTTACTTCCTATGCAAAGCCTGAAAAAAACACAAGTCTCACAAAGGACAACAATTAATATCCAACCAGGGAGGACGGAAGAATTCAAAAAATTTATGAATATACATAAATATTGACCATAACAATTACATATATATATATATATATACATTCCTGAGATGAAATTTTAAAATGCTGAAAAGTGACCATACTGGGAGGACGCAAAAACGTGTTGTGAAAACAACCCAAACGTTCAATACCGGCAACACTTCAAAGGCAACGGGGTTAATAAACAGTTCATCAGCAACTTTTCACCAATGTTTTTAAAAGTACAAGTTAAAAAAAAACAAAAAACACCCCAAACGTTAAGGCCAACGATGCACTTATAAATAAGACACAGTCGAAAATGTTGAGGACATCCGCCCATTGTCGAGGAGAAAAATGTGAGGCAGTGTGGTGAAATCAGGTGCTGACAAAATTTCAAAATTGAAGAAACTGGCATTTTACTGATGGCTTTGCAATTACTTTTTGCGAATTTGTTTTTTGGTTCAACACAATTTATGTGTCCATTTTAAAAACTCATTTCTGTGTGGATTTTACTGAAAAACTTTGATTAAAGGGACAAAAAATGTAACTTCTTTGTTTCCATGGACTCTCCAGTACTTTGGCGGCCATTTTCTCACTAGCTTCACCTCTGAAACCAGGCAACCCCCACTTCTTTCAATCACAAATATCTCGAATTCTAATGAAAATAAATGGATACTTTTTTTTCCCGACAGCAAAGCAAATGAACAAGCTTTAAGATGCCACTAATAACTGTATATGCCCCAAAATTAATATGCATCTCCGATTCCACTGCATCGTGACACGTTATTTTTTCAAGTGAAGGAGGGAAATGGGGCGTGGTTGTTCACACAGGTGCTAGTCTTTGAAAGGTGGGCCGTCATAGCATGTTCGACGTTTCAGCCATTTTGGGCTCTGTGTCCTAGAGGATTAGCTGCATGTTTAACACTATGTAAACACATGTCAAACATCAACACAGTCATAACACAAGTGCGTACGTCATCGTTTGTCGCTTTTTTAGTTTTAGTAGAGGTTTTACGGCACTCGCAAATGCATAAGGTCATATGAGCGCCAAGGGGAGGATGTCAACAGAGAAGTCCTTACAGGGAATCCGACTTAATCTGCTCACCTCTCTAGCTTTAACACCACAAAGTCTGCTTCGACTATCAAGGCACCCTGGAAATATGGGCCACAAGAGTGTGACAAACATACAAAAGAAGTAGAGAAAAATTACGATAGCAAGGATTAGGACAGAAAAAGCAGCAGTTCCCTGTTGTAGTTCAGGCACAGTTATGAGCATGCCATTGTTGGATCAGCCCATTTAAAACTGTACTGCGCATTAGAACGAGAAATGTCCCTACTTTCAAAATGGCCTACAGACACTTCAGATAGTGGCACCGCCCCAGGGGTGATCATTTGTCAATTCGAGATAGCACCAGCAACAAAAGAAAAAAAACAATGCTCATTTAAGTCATCTTCTGACTTGAGAGCCTGTGCAAATATCTTTTAAATTTTAAAATCTTTTTCCATAATTCCCCCCCCCCCCACCCCCCCACCCCAGAACCCTGGTATATTGAGGAGACTAAACAAGTCAATACAGGCATTTTTATAACACTAATAACTGGATACCTGAGAGAAATGACTTGTTCAAATGTCTCATGACGGTGACAATATTTAAGGGGTAGGGAAGAAACCTAAAGTATCACAAAATAACTACTTTTAAAATATAAAAAAAAACCAACAATGCCTTTGAGTCTTTAAAACACGATTTTTCTCTGCCACATAGCATTTTTTAAAAATTTAGTACGGCCAGATTTTTTATTCATTCTACTTACCATTTTGCTTCAAGGGACTGCCAAATTGACAGAGACAATGGAAAAATACTGCATCTTGACATAGTTTACTTTCTTACCCAACAGTTATACACAATAGCAATCCAATATATAAGTTATTTTTAAAATACAGTAAAAGTTTCACCGTTAAAATACTTTAGTGTACAATATTCTCTGCTCCAAACAGGAAATAATAAAAATTGAGGACAATTTCACCGGTAGCAGTTCTTGTGTGAGATTTTCCTCCATCCCAACAAAATATAAACATAATGTATTCTCAAACATTCGCTATAATTCAGAAAAAGGCATGAAACCTTTTCTTTCACTTATTTCTTAAAAGAAAACCCCAATGATAAATAGATAAGAGTTTTACTTTTGATTAAGCTCCGATATGAAGTGTTCATGCATACATCAACATCAAACATACAATACATCAACTTAGACAACCCACTATATTATCGAAACAATAGAGGTAAAATACCTGTAATGACAATATTATACTGATGCGTGTTATGCTTTATCCATGAAATAAAGTTTAAATCTGGTTTTTAAAAAACAACAAAACCCTCATTTTAATGATGAGAGTAGACACAAAAGTCAGATTGCAGTGCTTTTCAGTTTAGTTTAGTACATGTAAAGAGTTTTAAGGCGCTCCCAACTGCATATTATACGGTCTTATATTATGAGGGCGTGACACACAAGTTGGTTGCATTCCCAACAGTTCACAGCACGGCTTGATTTTGTTCAAGGGTTAAGCTAAGAATTTCACGGTAAAGTAAAATTTCAGTCTTCGAAACAACAATTTACATTTAAAGTAGTGCTTTAATGCGCTGTACGGCACTTGTGCAGCTCATGTTGACTACCTCAGAATTACAAAGTTCTTTCTGAGATTTTGGCCATTTTGAGTAATTACTAAGACCATGAGGTCAGAAAACAAATGTTCTATCTGCTCTATCAAAATCGTAAGATTTTTCGGAGTCGTCACCAAGATATTCAAAGAATTGCATTCTAAAAAGCTTGAGCTTGAAATGTTGTGAAACTCAAAATTTATTATTATGTCAAATTTCTAACAAACAAGACACTGAGCAGAAAGAACTCTGAGGACTCTCAAGCTATGGAAGTTACCAAGCTTTGGCGGCCATTTTCTCAATAATTTTAACTCTGTAACCAAGCAACCCTCACCTCCTTCAATAGTAAATATCTCGACTTCCATTCAAGATGGATCGACATTTCTTTCATCAAAAGCAAGACAAATGAACAAGCTTTAAGATGACACCAATAACTCCATATTATGTTTAAAAACTGGCGAGCACCCGATTACACCGCGTCGTTGCACATATTGCAACCTTAGCGCTTTCCTGTCGTATCTCCATTCTTTTAAACAGTGAAAATGTGACTTTTTCTTAACCCTATCCGTACGTCTGGGGTCAGGGGTCATTTTGTACCCCAGGGGTTGTATTCTTCACATTTTACAATACTTCTAGTGTGAAAATCTCTTTGAAACTTTCAGTATTTCTCAAAAATTCATTTTGACAGACTGCTATGCAAAGCGTACGGATCGGATTAACGAGTAAATTTTCTCTTTGGAAAGTGGGGGCACAGAGTTCCCCAGGTTGTATGGATACTATAATAAAACATGACGTTCGCATAGGGTTGAGCTCACTCTTTGTCATGATCTGTTTTCAGTTATAAAAAAAAGGAGATACGACAAGAAAGCACTGAGGTCGCGATATGTTCTAGAAGCTACAACACCATTAGCTTTCGCTGCCTAGACCGCCTCGTCCGGGCTCTTCCTGGAGGTGGATGTCCTCCCCCTTCGGCTCCTGAGGGGCTCCAGCGAGCGCAGCGTGTCGTACATAAACTTGGCCTTTTCCCGTCGTTCTTGCTCCAAAAGAACCTGCAGCTGGGCAAACCGGAGCTTGGCCTCCGCGCGGCCCGCCTCCCGCTGCCGTCGCTCCTCCAGCAGCAGCTGCTTCATCTCGCCCACTTCCCGCCGGAGACCCGAGATCTGGCGGGACTGAGACCGCAGCTTTGACATCACGCGGGAATAAAACCTCCCCTCCGAAGCTGAAAACGCCGACGATGATGCTGCCGCCTCCACTACAGACCTTCCTGAAATAGCTCCCCGTGGTCGCTGTGCAGACCTGCCCGAGCCAACGATAGTTTGAGAATCATCCCCACGAGATGGCGGCGCTGTTTTCGAATTACCTGCCAGTGATGTTGTTGGTGATACTATAGAGGATAAAGAATCGTCCGATGGTCCTTCTCCCAAAGCCTGTTCTGGGCCCTGTTGCTGCAATATGTTTTGCAACTGAGCCCCTCCGCCACCACCACCACCACTCCCCTGCTCCTCTGCGGCATAGGGTTTGAATGAGCTATTATGCATAACCATAGCACAGGTGTCATCTGAAAGACAAGGGTTCGAATCTTCTGGAGCCTGAAACTTTTTACCCGATGAAGATAAGGAAACAGTCTTCACATCATCATCATCCTCGTCGACCCCCATCAGGCTCAAAAGATTCGCCCCTACACCATCACCACCATCCCCCAAGCTGCTACTACTACTGCTGTGGCTGCCACTCCCTGCTGCTGCTGCTGTTTTTCCACTGTTATTATTCCCACCAGCACCACCACAACTGTCCTCCATCTCAACATACTCTTCCATCAGCCTTGCGCTGGTCATAGCTTCATCCTCTGCGTTCCCGGCCACGTTCTCATACACGTGTTTCTCTCGCAGAATGTTCTTCAGCTCCTCGTAAAAATCTGGGACTCGCTTGGCCCCGTGGTCCGGGACCTGCCGACTGATCTCATAGTCCTTGTAGGAACGCTCCAAGTTGCGCCACTTCTGGGAACACTTGTCGCCAGGGTTCTCAAACTGGAAGCCCAAACTGGCCATCTCATCGCCAATGCCCTGCCAGATCGCCTGTAACAGGGAAGATCAAATACCCGGGTAAACGAATAGACAAGGTAATTGTTTTAATGGACAGACAACATAACAGTCTGAAAATTGTTTGTGCCTTTGATCGACATTTTTCAGTAAAATTAAAATGCACACAGGAATGTGATTTGAAATGGACATGAGAGACTTTGGGCTGAAAAAAACTTATACTTGATAAATATTGTCAGACAGTTAATAAACGGTTTCTTTGATTGTCTTATTTTGACGAGTACCTGATTTCACCACAATGCTACACATATATTGACAACATAATCGTGTAAACACGCAGACAACATGATTGTGAAAACACAATAGTTTCTCCGTCAGTGTCTGATGATGATGAATGCATATTATACGCAGAGGAGAACATTTCTTAAAAGCAAAATAAAAGACATAGCCATTATAGTGGACTTTCCCAAGGGCCAATGAGACCAATTTTGGCAGAGAAGAGCGCATTTCATCACATATAATTGTAAGTGCTGTAAGTGCGACCCCACCCCCACCCCAAATGTCCATCCACCTCCACCCCCTTTCCTCTCACTCATTCATCCACCCCCACCCCCATCACACTCCTTTCCTCCCCTTTGTCCACCCACTCACCAACTCCCCTCCCTCACCTTTTTCTTGTTAGAGCGACAGGCCAGCCTGGCCTGGGTGTCCGGCCGTGCCACTATCTCAATGAGAGCTTGCGTGGCCTTCTTGTCCCGGTGACGGGCCTCGGGGGTCTTGATGTTCATCCACACCATATCTGGGAACAGAAAATATTGGTCTGTTTGTTTGAATAAAGAGAAGAATATCGACACACTAACCTCTTCACTGCCGCACCCGTAGAATTTACAGGCCTGAACCGTGTAGTGCTGTGCCTATGGCCTGTAGAATTTACGGGACTATGACAGAGGTTGTTTTGATTCTAATTATAAGAGAAGTTACTGCTAAAATCTTGTATTATTATTGAGGTACCTTCCTTTTATGTTTACCACCATTCCCCCCTACCCCCTTTGAAAGCGTCAGATTCAGATTTTAGCTCAAAGAGAAAATTAGATCTAGATCTAACACATTTACCGTACAAAAATGATTTATTGGCAGTAAACACAGATGGGCTTACATGTATATAGATCTACATGGGTAGTACGAGCGTTGAATAAGGTAGGAAAAGCCTCTTGTCACTTCCTCTTCACCTGAAGACACTCACACAACATGCATTCCCCATTTTTGGCCTCAGTTTATCATTACTCGAGTGTGTGTTGTTTTATGTTGTTTGGTGGTGTTGTTTTTGGCATCATGTCACTAACTCCAACTTTTCTCCATCTATCGCTAAATGAAATCCCCTCAAAATTCAATCAATAGAATTATGGTTCAATGTACAGTGTACATGCAGAAATTCATGCGAAAATATTCATACATAAAAAAGTTATGTGAGGTAGAGTGGGGTCACCCCTGAGCAGCCTTGGTTCATGGGATTTCCCCTGGCACAGGGGCCTATTTACCTGCAGCATTGAAGAGGTTAATGATCACTTAGTGCAAGCAAAAAGCAAGATTACTTTTGAGTAAAGAGAAACACATTAACACTTTAATGGTCATTTACTGAAAGTAAAAAAGAAGCTAAGAATGTTTCTGAGCGGTGCTCAGGGTCTGCAGGGATAATAATGGTTGTAAAGCGCATTGAGTATGCTGTAGAGTGTGGATATGTGCTATATAAAAATGCAATTATTATTATTATTACCAAAGAGCAAAATTTGTTTTTAGTAAACAGAAGCACATAAGTACAGAAATGGTAATTTACTGCTAGGAAAAGTAAGAAAGAGGCACAAAACAACTTAGTGAAATGAAAGAAAAGAAGTAGGGTTTTCTACAGGGCGTCCTCCTGGCACCTGAGTCAGAATCATATCTCTAAAGCACAAAGTCCTGTCTCCATTCTTCCCAAAAATTAGTATACATCTTACACGTAACCTATCTCGAATTAGTACACCATCTTACATGCAACCTATCCCAAACTAGCACACCATCCTGCAGGCAACCCATTCCAAATTAGTACACTATTTCACCACAACCTGTCCAAAATCAGAGCAGCACCTTACAACAAATCAGTACTCCCATCGTAATACTAACCTGTCACCAGATTTTTCGGCAAGAGGTTTGATGACGATGCCTTCCCAGAATGCTTGCCATTCCCGCCACCACTGCTGCTGACTTTGCTGACATCCGCGGCCGCCGAAATCCTGACCCCGTTCCCAGGAAATGACAAACTGGCAGCCACAGCAGTGGAGGAGGTCGCTGCGAAACTGGTGCTGCTGGGTGCAGTCAGGCTCTCTATGCTGGTCGTCATGGCAACATCAGAGTTGCTGCTGCCGCTGCTGCTGTGGTGGTCCACCGGGGTGGTGCAGCGGTTGTCATGGTCATCACTGTCAAAGAGAAAGAGGGCAAGGCGAGACGGGAAATGAATTTTTATAATTATTATATTTTTTAAACAGTAATAAAATCTTATGTTACATTATGTCCAACTATATCTCAGCTGTCAGACCCACAGAAAAATGTGCAAAACGATCATGTAATCAAAATAGCTATGACCTGCGACTGTCAATTTTGAGAAAAGCAGGGATTTTATTTTTTCTTCCTGTAAAAACTATGTCCAAACTTAGACACATTGTGCTCAAAGCTATCAATAAGCAGAGGTTGCACAATTTTATCGCAACTGTAAACCAAATTTCCCAAGCAATACATGACAGGGTTATTTGAGTAGCAACATGACAAAAAGACACACATTTGGGACAAGATAACACCATGGGTAACAAATGGAAGATCTATTCAAGTCCTATAAGCAGAAGAAAACTGTATTTGTCACATTTGTCTTGCTGCTTTGGTTCCAAAGTTGTTGTCATTTGAAGTTGGAAACTCAAACCACACTTCGCTATGACAGAGCTGAAGCTTTGACCTATATCCCACACATTGCTCCACATTTACTACATACCTTCTGTTCATTTTTGTAAGTATTCTACAGCATTTGCAACACAATCAGGTCATATAAGTGCTGAAGATTAAAGGTGTTACATGAGAGTAACATACACAAAAAAAGACAAATGAAAGGTAAGGACGATAGATGTTTGATAGGAAAGAAGGAGCATACCACACTGGCGGAACCGCTAACCATCCACCTCTACAAACCTGGTAGGCACAGTATCGGCAAACAGTGGTTCCACTGACAAGATATTTCCGGGCAGAGACGAATCCGCTTCTAACGAGTCCATGTCTTCTGGAGAGAAGAGAAGAAAGTAAAGTAGTTTCATGGATACAATTTTGCTTGTTTGTTTGTTTGAGTAAAGTAAAACACATCCACACAATAAGCGTCACTTAACTACAGGAAAAATCGCCATTGGTTATCGTATAATGTTTAACATTCCAATTGGGGATTTCAACCAGGGCCATGTATGGTCAGGAAACTGGGGTAAAGAACTTTGTGCCTGATCTGAAACAGATACTGTCATTCACAGTTCACCACTAATTTCTCTGCTTGGATATTTCTGAAAACCTATTTTATTATTATCCTGGTCTTTCCCTATCATCCATCTGTTCAAGTTCTTTTGGGTTTTTTTTTAAGTAAGTTATTCTTGTTCTATATCTGTATCTTTATTTTTTTTTTCCAGTGATTACAGGATTATATGTTCATGGCCTTTATGTTTTATCAAATGTTATATTATGTCTGCGGTCATTCAAGTTTCAATTTTATTGTGACTGTTAGTGAGTTTTTATTGCATTCTAAATTATTCAGTGAACGGCTCACTGTGTGACTAATTTTCTCATAAAAATTGTTTATACATACATAATACTATGTTTTATGTACACACATGTCCATTAATTTTCAAAATGTGATATCTTTATTAATGTAATGAGTATTGAGATTTATTTTTTTTTCAGAGAATAGAAAACCAGCCAGGGCAGTGCCACTGACTGAAGTGTCTTTAGGCCATTCCCAAAGGGGGCACATTTTTCGTTCAAGTATAGTAGAACTGTAAATGGGCTGACTCATGTCATGCTCATAACTGCCTGATCTACAACAGGGAACTGCTGCTTTTTCTTTCCTGATCCTTACTATTGTCATTTTCCTCTACTTCTTTTGTATGTTTGTCACTCTCTTGTGACCTGTTATTTTGGGGTGCCTTGATAGTCGAAGCAGACCTTGTGCTGTTGAAGCTAGAGAGGTGAGCAGTCTAAGTCTGATTCCCTGTAAAGACTTCTTTGTTGACACCCACCCTTTGGCGCTCATATGACCTTATGCAGTTGCGAGCACCGTAAAGCCCTCTACTATAAAAAAAAGAAGAGAGAATAGAAATGCGCAGCATAAATGCTATTTATAATTATATGTCCATTGCAGTGTCCAAGGACCCACAACATTAAGTGTATGCTTTAGCTAAGCCTTACCCATCCCATGAGGCTTGATATCAGAGCTCAGAGTTGGAGCTTCCAAACTTGGAACTTGTTGCTGCTGTTGTTGACGCTGCTGCTGCTGCTGCTGCTGATGCTGTTGTTGTTGTTGTTGTTGTTGTTGATGGTGCAGTTGTTGGTGCAATTGCTGCAGCTGTTGTAAATCTTGTGAGTGTTGCTGAACTTGAGAGGACAGCAAAGAGTGAGCATCTACTTGCTGCTGCTGCTGCTGCTGCTGTTGTTGCTGTTGCTGAATCTGCTGTTGTAGCTGTTGATGATGGTGCTGCTGGTGCTGTTGATGGTGTTGGTGTTGCTGTTGATGGTGTTGGTGTTGCTGCTGATGCTGCTGTTGCTGTGAGGGCTGCATGATGCCCTGGTGGTGTTGGGGCTGAAGCTGACTCTGCTGAAGCTCATGCTGATGCTGCAGGAAAATAATTGAGAGTTTATCAGTTCAGTCGTCACAAAAACGTAGAATAACTGTCAAATCTCAAACACAACTTCCTCATTTTCAGTTAAATTTACAAAGCTGCTATTTTGAATGTCATAAGGAAAACGTAGTTTAACAGAAAACATGCTGAGGATAATGATCATTTTTCTTATATCTTCTTTCATGATATTGCCAAAAAAGCAACAACCCCAAAACAGAATTTAAAAAAAAAAAAACCAAGAAAAAAACCCACAAAAAAACCCAAAAATAAAACTCGCCGTCCCTGATGAATGTTTCCAAACTCACCTGAGACACTTGTACCTGCAGCACACCTTGCAAGGATTGGATGTTTTGAGGGGTAAGCAAGTGCATTTGCTGCTGGCCTGAAGGATTGGAGATCTGCACCTAAACAATGAGGGGGAAAACACAGGACAAAGTAAGAATGTTCGTTTGAGTAAAAAGAAACACATCCACGTAACAGCAGTCCCTCAGTTTAGTTTTTGTTTTAGTAAAAGTTTTACGGCACTTGCAACACAATAAGGTCATATAAGTGCCGAAGAATAGATGTTACAAGAGTGTAACATACACAAAAAGTAGCAGAGATAAGGATTATAGATGTTTGATAGGAAAGAAGTAGCAAACCACACCAGAGCACCTGCCAACCACCCAGTCCCCTAGCACAGGTAAAATTTGTTTACTTCAGTAAAAGGAAACACGTGGATAATAACAGTTACTTACTGTGGGGATAAAGATTTTTTGCTTGTTCGTTTAAGAAAAGAGAAGCATGTAAAGTCACATCAAACAATGAACGTCATTTAATATTTGCTTTGTTTCAATTAATCTAAGCTTGTTGACACAACAATCATTTAGTGATTGTTTGTTTTGTTTTAGTAAAGACAAGCACATTGACATAAGATAATCATTTAACCTCTGTTTTGTTTCATAACAGTACAGAATGGGGTCTACATGTGGCGTCCCAACAACCCACAATACAGCGAGGGAAACCCTTCCCCGCCAGGCCTGAACAGAAGTCTGGGATTTTGTTAGATAACAACAATACTTCAACAAAACTTATTGGGCGACATGCAAATAATAAAAAGTAGCTTCCACACAACAATGTTTTACAAAATATAAATATACTAACAGGCTCAGTGAAATGAAAACCACATACCATAACATTGGAAGAGGGATTTACTTGATGTCCGACGTTGGGGCCATGGGTGACTGAATGCAGCTCAAACTGTTGATGCTGCTGCTGCTGCTGCTGTTGTTGTTGTTGCTGGGCAACAGTTACAGTAACATTGTCAGGGGCATTGGCGATGATGTCATCATGGATGTAAGTGTCGAGCTCATCCATGTGCACCTGGTTGTCATGAAATTTCACATACTCACCATCTGTGGATGAAAAAACCAAGAAACAATGATCGATGCACTGGCTTTGAACCCCATTGGAGCGTCCGGCGGTAATATAACCCTGTTCCCCATCGGACGCTGGGAGCATCCAGTACTAGTGACAACTGTTTCGTTTTATTTAGTTCAAGATTTTGGTTGTTTTTCGGAACTATTCCCGAACAAAGTTTTTTAGTAATGACTAAGCCTTTGTTTCCACTATTTAAAAGTTGGAGGCAAGCTTTTGGGGTTATAATGAGACATAGTGCATCAGGTTTAGGTGGCTGTAAAAAATAACTCCGGGAAACAGTGGAAAAAAACTCAGGGCTTAAAGAGTTACGAAATCTAAAACACTGATTAACATTGCCTCACATATTTCTAATTCTTTCTTCACTGATATGGAACAATTTTTGGGTGGTTTATAGTTTGAAAAAGAAAATGAGGGAGGGAAGGTAAAATAAACAAGAGGGCAAGCCAGTCACTTTATCTGGACAAAACCCAGGAAAATAAAATTTTTGACGGCTCACACTTGTGTGGGTGTGAGGGAGTGAGTGCACGCATGCATATCATATATTGTGGTGTGTATGTGAATGTTTGGGTGTGTGTGCGTGTGTGTGTGTGTGCGTGTGTGTGTGTGTGTGTGTGTGTGTGTGTGTGTGTGTCTGAGAAAGGGTAACATATCATGTGTATGCGCATGACACATTATAAAACTAAATAAGTTGATAAAAAAGGCATCAAGAACAATTGGTAGAGACCTAAGTAACTTTGAATATCTGCACAAGACAAACGTTCTAAAAAAGGCGGAAATAATGCTTAGTG